GAACCTGGCCTGGGCCCAGGGAGGGGCTCGGCCACCATCAACCCGTGCCAGGTTGCGGGCAGGTGGGGGTGCAGTCCTGTTCCCCCGTGCCTCACTCCTGCTGGTGCTGGCCGCCTTGACGACTTGTAGCAGGGCAGTGCTCACAGGGAAGGCCTGATAACCTAGGGAAGGCGCTATCAGTGGCGGAAATGGGGAGATGCACTGAGCAGGGCTGGTGAAGGGGGTTCAGTGTCAGGAGGCCCCGGGGCCGCCATACACTCTGCCACCAGGAATGATTTCACTGAACAATCAATCACTGTCTCCGGCCTGGCTTTCTTCTCCAAATGCATTGACACGCGGGGGCTGAGGGCTACAGCACTCTCCCTTGTCCTGCTCCGTCCGCCCTCTCTGCCGGCCCAGGGTCAAGGGCCTCTCCTTGGTGGGTACCCCTGGGGTCCCTTAGCTGCACATTTACATACACACAAGGGTGCGTGCAATGAACATAGCATATGTGTGTGTGTGTGTGTGTGTGTGTGTGTGTGTGTGTGAATACCACACACAGCCACTCTGAGTCCTGGTCACATCTCCAAATGCCTTGGCACTGAAAAGCCATTGGTTTAAAATCAGAATCAAGTCCATAAAACCATGGTGCCCTGGTTTCCTCCCCAGTGTTTACATTAAATTGTTTCCTCCAGAACAGTAAACCTGCTGCAGGAAGGTGTTGCATGTGGGCCTGTTTTGCTGTCAGATGATTTGTGAGCCGAGCCACAGCTCAGCTGTGTGGGTGCCCAGGGTCAGGGTGGCAGTGCTTGCGTGCTTCTCCCAAGCCTTGGTCACACGAGGGGTGCTTTCCTACCGTCAGATACTGGTGTCACCGATGGCTAAAAGCCAAGCATCCCGGTTGCATTTCCCACGCACTGGGGGACTGCGGGCCCTGGCTGCACTGGCTGGTGGTCTGCAGCGCTGCCCAGCAGTGTGTGTTCCTAGTTGTCATCTGTCCATCTGTCTTCAGCTGCTGAGGAACAGAAAGTGCTCCCCTGGTTTTCTTTGCAGTAATCCTTTGTTATACGGACAAATATCGTCTTCCCATCTGACATTCACTTTAGCTTTGATCACATCTTGCATGAGCCTTGCCCTGCGGGATTAGCAGAGACAGCATCCTGGGCTTCAGGATGTTTAACCCCGTGGATCTGGGAGGCCTGAGTGTGCCTCCATCTTGTCCATCCTGGGCTCCGGGTCACAAACTTGCTGGCCTGCAGGAAGTGGGCTCCGGGCACTGAGTGCCTCATGCAGCCCAGTGCTAAGCTGGACCAAGGCTGCTCTGTCAGATCCTGGGCACTGAGCTTCTCCTCCCTTTGGGCTCATCGTTGTTCGGGGGCTCAAACCATCCTTGTGAGCCCTGCTTGTGCAGGTGACCGGGCTGGTGGTGCTGTTCTCTGTGGGCAGTAAGCCACGCACAAGCTGCCGACTGTCCCACACAGCCACGGAGCATGTTGTGTGGGCCAGGTCCTGTGCCAGAAGTGGGAGACATGTAGGCATGAAGACACCAGCTCAGCAGAGGGGACAGCTGGTTCAGACTGGTGCCCATTTTGCTTCCTGGTGGGCTCATTCACTCAAATGATATCCATGGTTTTTGTTGTTTGTTTTCAGTGCTAGGGACTGAACCCAGGACTTTCACAGTGAGCTGCATGCCCATTTTTCTCTTTTATTGTGAGACAGGGTCTTGCTAAGTTTCCAAATGACTCAAACTTGGCAATCCTCCTGCCTCAGCCTCCCAGAGTGCTGTGATTACAGGTGTGTGCCATCAAGCCAGGCCCATCAGGCTTTTTTTACCCTCAGGAATGGTGTGGTGGCTGGTGTTGGAAGGCAATAGGAACCCGGGACACTCTTGGTTGGTTAATCTGCCTGCCCATGCACACACACACACACACACACACACACACACACACACACACACACACTGTCTGCAGGACGGTGTCTGGTGTCCTATTTGCTCTCTGGGAGAGATAGCAGGCAGCTTGCGGTGTCTGCGCAGAGCCAGGCCCCAGGGGTTCATGGGAAAAGGCCACTGCGGTCCAGGGCCATGAGCGCAAGGCTAATTTTAGCCATGAGCAGCAGAGTGACCTTGGTACCAGCAGGGGAGGCTGCTCCAGAGATGCCCCTAGATGGTGCCCCAGCCCTTTTTGGAGGCACTGGGCTGAGATTAGCAGTGCCCATGCCCCGTCTCCCTGCCTCACAGACCCCACCACATTCCCCCTGCACCTCATCCGTCCTCTGCAATCTGCCATGCCCAGGGCCTGGCTCCCGTCAGCCTGTCAGGCTCCACTGGCCTCAGCGATGGACCTGGTGGCCCAAGGGCCATGGGGGGTAAACAGGACAGATGAGGTGGGAAAGGGAAGCCCAGGGAAGGGGCTGTCTGGCCTGGGCTTTGGCTTCTGAGTAGGTCCGGGAATGGAGGGTGTGTGCCTGCCCTACTGTGCATGGAGGTGGTGCCAGAGCTTTCTGTGCCCGGCTCTGTTCATCCCCATCGACCCACAAGATGACTGTGCTGGTGTCCATTTAAAGATGGCCACACTAGGGCCAGAGGCCAGTGATTTGCCAGGGACCCCACAGCCAGCAGGAGGGGAGGCGAACCCTTTCCAATGGCACCTGCAGGGGCCGTGGCTCTGGGGGTCTTGGGCCAGTCCAGCCCTGTGGGACCTGCAGCCTCAAAATCTCTCTCGGTCCCTTGCGGGGACTGCGTGGGGGTGCAGGAGTGGGGACAGAGCCCAGGCTGGCAGGTGGGGCCTCAGCCACACTGCTCAGTGGCCCAGAACGGAAGCAGTGTGTTCAGCCAGCCAAGCACCAGCCAGGCACAGGGACCTGGGACCTGGGACCTGGGGCAGGCCGTCAGCTAGGGTTCGCTGTGGGCCTCTCTGTGCATACAGCGGGACTCTGCTTCCAGGAAGCAGGCTGTGGGGGGCTCCCTGGGAGGAGGGGACCCCTTCCTTGCAGAGCTTCTCCAGGGTCAGGCCAGGGCTGGAGTGCGAGCTAGACAGTGGTGCACCCCGGAGTTCCACCTGCACGGATCACAGCCCTGAGGGCTCTTCTGAGGCCCTGGGAGCTGTCAGTTGGTGAGTCACGGCAGAGCCGAGCTCATGCACAGGGCCTGTGGCCACATCCAGCATGCCAGTCCCTTGGGGCGGAGGCCCTGTGAGCACCAGATGCTTCTCCCCACTCCTCATCCACTAGGCTTCTGTGCCCTCTTGCCATCCTCTGCAGTGAGGAGGGCTGTCCCCTGGGCCCGGGCCAGGTTGTGTATCAGGCCCACTTGTTCCTCAACTTCCTGAAAGCTCCATGTGGTCTCAGCTTCCTCTGCAGGTCCCTCAGCACTGAGCATGGAATGTGGGGTCTGCGGCCTGGCACCCCCATCCTTGGGATGCTGCTGGGGAGCTGCAGGCGCAGCCCGCCCTGATGCTCAGGGAAAGCGGGGTGTGCTGTGCCCAGGCTCTGCCCCACTGGCAGGAGGACCTGCTTTACAACGCTGTGCTGCGTCCAGGAAAGGAGGAGCTGCCTGCTGGCAGAGGACTGGGATCTTCCATGTGCCTGACGGTGGGGCGGGGGGGATGAGGGGGGATGGAGGGCTCGAAGGTGCAGATTTGTATTCCCCAAACTCCCAAGGAAGCTGTCGTCTGTCCCCAGAAGCCGGGGCAGGGTGCGAGGACACAGGAGGCCTGGCCAGGGCCCTAAGGCCATCGCAGGGCCCAGCAGCTGTTCCCACTGCTCTTCTTGGTCCTTGACAAATCCTTACCTGGGCCTCAGTTTCTCATTTGTGAGAAGCACAGGATGATGTACACTGAGAACTTGGTGACTGGTTTTCGAAACTAAAAAAATTGAAGCCTGACTCTGTTCCAATAACCTAAGTCAACAAAACAGTAAAACGGGGCAGGGTAAGAGGAGGCACCAGGCTTGAGGCAGGGGTGGCAACCCCTTTCTCTCTCCTGCCTCCCATGTGAGCTCCCCACTCCCAGGCCTCCACTGTAGAGTCCCAAGATCGAGGAGCACAGGAATCATCTCCACCAGAGTCCTCCCTGGCCCCCTTCTCCCCTGTCACCCTTAAAACTGATGGCCTGGAACCAGACGTGGTCTCTTGCCTGTGACACCTGAGATGCTGGGTGTGGTCAGGACACGTTGAGTGGGGGCCTGGGCCCGTGCCCTCCGGGATGAGGACACACTTGGGGGACATCTAGGAGGCCCAGCCCACAAAGCCCTGCCTCCAGAGCCAAGTGGGGCACCCAGGGCTTACTGGGCCAGGAGGACCCATCAGGAGCACACAGCAAACACCCACAGCCCAAACACCAGGGCATCTCAAGGAGGGCTGTGGGGACCAAAGCCAAGATTGCTGAACACCACACACCCTGCCTACCGGAGTGGCACCCAAAAGCTCAGTGCTGGTGAGGCAGTGGGGACATTGGAATCTTATCAGTGTGGGAGTGTAAAACGATCAAGATGCTGTGGACAGTGATGATGGCCTCTCAAAAATTAAACAAACCGCCCTTTGGCCCAGTCACAGGTCCGGAGGAGCGGCCTGCACATGCGTATGTGCTCGTGCTAGCATTATTCGCAATGGCCAGCAGCATGAAGCCACACGGATGTCTGTCGACGAATGAGTGGAAAACAAAATGTAGTTTACCACTGTCACAGTTTGGATCAAAAATGTCCCCCAAAAGTGTCAAGAGGTGGGGCTTTGGTGAAGGTGACTGGATCGTAGGATGGATCCACTGATGGATTCACAGCTGAATGTGCTCTTAGGAGGTGGGCTGGTTGGGGGAAGTGGTCCCCAGCGTGTAACCTGGAAGGACAGACACATGCTTGACTCTGGGCCCTTCCTCTCTCTGGCTCTTCTTGCTCTCTCTGCTTCCTGGCTGCCATGAGGTGAGCAGCTTTCCTCCGCCATACCCCTGTGCTGTGATGTTTTGCCTTGGAGCCAGGAAGCCACGGACTGAATCCCCTGAAACTGTGAGCCAAGGAAACCTCTCCTTTAAGTTGTGTATGTCAGGTATTTTGTCACAGCAATGAAAAGCTGACAATAAAATCCATAAAGTGGAATGTTATGAAGCCTCAGAAAGAGATAGGTTCCTGATACCTGGATACATGAAGAGTGACAAGCCAGTTCATGAGACAAGTGCTATGGAAGTCACTTGACCTGGACTTGCAACCTTCAGAACTGTGAGGAAATAAGGGTCAGGTGTTGGAGCCGCAGGAGTCCTGGCAAACGGATGCACTGCTGTATACCGATACACTGACATACTTGGCACTTTGGGGGGACATTTCCTAAGTTCTCTCCCTACCCTGGACACGCCCGGTGGGGGACGTTGTTCTTCACTGCACACAAAGCAGGAGACCAGGGTTCACAGAATGGAGCTATCCGCCATGATGCGACTGGAACATGCTGGACCGACCCAGGCCCTGGCGTCCAGCCTTGTGTGCACCCGCGAAGTCACACCCAAGATGCAGGAAAGGGGACAGCATCAGACAGAGGATGTACCCAAGAAGGGGATCGCAGAGCATGCGGAGCCCAAGGCAGGCCTTGCTTGGAGACTGTGATACCACTAAGAAGAGCCGATTTCTCCAGGTACCCATGGCAGGTCCTAGGCAAGCACCTCTCCTGTGCTGTCACTTACAGTCTGGTGAGGAGCTCTGCAGGGCGAGTGTGTGTGTGTGTGTGTGTATGTGATGACTGTGCCTGCTCTACAGATGAAGAAACAGGCTCAGCAGAGTCAAGCGGTGTCCACAGTCACATGTCCTGGGACAGGAAGTGCCTGGACTCTGGGTTTGAACCCAGACCGCATAAGCCAAGGCCTTGCTGTTATTCATATGACAGACGTTCCTTGGGTCCAGGAAGTGACAGGGTGGGCACAGCTTCCATCCCAGGAAGCACAGCTTGGTGTCCTGAGGTTCCAGCTGTCCTCAGCAGAGGTCCGGCCGCGGACAGCAATGCAGTGACCGGATGTCCGAGGCACCAGCCCCTCACCAATTCCAGGTTCAAGGGTGAATGCACGCTTTGGGCAGCCACGTGGGTGACCTTCCCTTCATTAGCAAAACACAGTGCCTGGCAGGAAGTGACAGCCTCCCCATCCTCACAGTTCACCTTCTGCTGTGATCCAGAAGGCCCTTCGTCCTGTGTGAACTTACTGATGTATGGAACAGGAGCACGCCCCAGGGGGACCAGGGCGCCACCTAATGGAGGAAACTCACCACAGTCCCCTTCAGTTCCAGGGAAGAGGAAGAGGAGGAGGAGACTGGGCTTGCTGATAGCGGCTCCTTCTCCAGGTTTCGCAGGTGCCACTTGCACATTAGAGCTGGGAAAAGCACCAGCTGGGCCCGCAGTGCTGGGACCTGGGCATAGGCGCCCCTAGCGCTCACAGTCAGTGCTGTTGGAAGGGGCGTTGCAAGCCTCGCACCGCCTGGCTCAGCAGCAGCCCCGTCCACAGTGGACATCAGTGCAGGGGGGACTGGAAACACGGGGGTGCCCAGGGCCACGGGTGCTTTTCATGTGCCCCCCACTGGTCTCTGTTCCCCGTTTCCACCACAGTGTGTTTCTGCAGTGCAGGCTGGGCAGGCTGCTGGAGGTGGGGGAGACAGGGTGGTGACAGCGGCTCTGCCGGAGGGACAGCATAGGAAACCCCTTCAAGGACCCCTGGGTGCTCCAGGCCCCGGCAGGGCAGCAGCTCTTCCCACGGAGCCCCAGGGTTGGATCTATCTCTGTCCTGTGCCCCCTACTGGCCGGAGGAGGGGCTCTCGGCCTCCTCAGCCCTGCGCCCCAGCCAGACAGCCCCCTCCGGGATCCCCTCTTCTGGCCTGGGATCTGGAGCTCTGCAGGGCGGCCTCAGAGCTCACCCCATAGCCCTGCAGCACCCGGTCTGGCCCACACCCCCAGCTGCTACTCACCAGTAGTGTGACCACTCTCGTGCCTCAGTTTCTCCCTCTGTACAGACAGTGCCATTAATACTACCTTGTGGGCCAGGTATCAAAGCATGAGAAGCGGGTGCCAAGAGGTCCAGCGGGTGAAGGGGGTGAGGAGGTGGAGCCAGGCAGTGACATTATTCTGTGCAGTGCTGTCGCGGTGGATACACTTGGCTAAAACCCAGTGTCCCGCAGCCGCGGGCCCTCGTAAACAATGAAGCAACGCTGGCGTCACTTGCAGAAGCACTCCAGCGGAAGGTGGCTGAGAACAGGGGGGCCTTTGGGACGCTGTGCCCCTGGTGTTTATCTCTCTGGAAACTAAACCGCTCAAAAAGGACGAGCAGGAAAAGAGGCAAGGAGAGGGAGGGAGAACAGAGCCTGCCTTCCCACCGCCCCTCCCTTGTCCTTGTCCCATCCCGGCCCACTCGGGGGTTCACGCGTGGACCCCGGGTGTCAGAGCCCGGGGAAGGGTCTTCTCCTGGCGAGGCCCCAGGCGCCGGCTCCCACCCAGGTTCTGTGCCCCCCGGGAGTTCAGGATTGGTGGGGCGAGGGCGCCACCTGCCGGCCGCGAGGTCCGCGTTTGCGGGTGGGGGGTTCCGCTCCCTACCCCGCCCTGTGACTACCGCCCCCAATCTTCCAGAGTCCAGTGCGACGTCCGGGCGAGTCACCCACCGGCAGGGTTTATTGCAGAAGAGTCCCAAAGCCCTGGGGCGCAGCCCAGGTCAGGCGGCCCCGGCCAGCAGCTGCCCGGGAGGACCCAGACCTGGCCCCGGGGGACAGGAACCCAGCGCGGTGCCCGGGCGCAGCCTTACAAGAGGACATCACCTACAGCACCCTGGGCCACTCTGCGCACCTCACCATGGACGACGGGGGCCGGGCTAAGTCCTCGCTCGGAGGAGCTTGGTGCCCGGGGATTTGTCCGGATACGGGCGCCGCCCCGCAGTCGCCTGTCCCGGTCACCCTGAGCTCCCGGGCACGACTCTAGGGCTGCAGCTCATACTGGGCCTCGGTGGCCGTGTAAAAGTCCTCCAGCACCGACTGCAGGAATTCGAAGGTGGGCCGCTGCTCCGGGCGCCCGCGCCAGCACTCGGCAATCACGTCGCGGTACAGCGCAGGCGGGCACGAGTCGGGGCGCGGCATGCGGTAGCCCCGCTCCAGGTTTCGGATAACCTCGGGGTTGCTCATGCCTGCGGGGGTGAGGACAGGTGTGGGGAGGCTCAGACAGGAGACTCACCTGCCTGGCCGTGGCATGAGCTCTATCCCAGACTTGCTTTTCACATTTTTATTTTGAGACTGGGTCTAAAATTGCCCAGGCTAAGTGGTCCAGGTTGGGATTGAATTTGAGATCCTCTTGCCTCAGCCTCCCAGAGTGCTAGGATTATAGGCCTATTCCACCACGCCTGGCTCATTGACTTTTCATTTAGGAAGAAGAGTTGAAAACGAGGCCGTGGATTTTCTCCTGAGTGAGGGGCAGCTCCTCTGGCAGATGGGACGCAGAATCCCCCCCACTCCCAGCCGCCTACCTGGGTAGGGCACGCGCCCGTAGGTGACAATTTCCATCAGGAGGACGCCGAAAGACCACACGTCTGCTTTGATGGTGAACACCCCGAAGTGGATGGCCTCCGGAGCGGTCCACTTGATGGGGAACTTGGCCCCTGCGGGACATCCCGTGAGCCCCCTGAGGCTGTGCCCGGCTGCCTGCCACCCCCGCACCCCCTCCCCTTCTCCCGCCCCACACTGGGCCTCTGTGGGTACACCCGGCTGACTGCTCCTTTGCTAAATGCATTCGCATCCTCTCGCGAAGTGCCTTTTGCTGTGGTTGTATTGGGAGCGGAGTGCAGGTTCACGAAGCATGGCTTGTTGCTCATGGTTTAGAGCCTCATGTTCCAAAGTGGAGCCCGACTCCAGTAGGAGTTAAAAGGAGCTAAGGGGGCAAAGCGTGAGCGCTCTGGGAGGCACCAGGAGAAGGGAGTGGAAACTCCAGCATCGCTGCGGGGCTGGCCCGGCTGAGGCCCCAAGGTTAAGGCGGCGAGGGGCTCAGGCTCTCCGGCCCAGGTCCCGGGCACCTCTGCTGTGCAGGCTCAGCCGGAAACACAGGTGGGCTCCCGGGCCCTTCCCGCAGGCCTGACCCCGCCAAGGGGGAGCGCTCTGGGAGGCACCAGGAGAAGGGAGTGGAAACTCCAGCATCGCTGCGGGGCTGGCCCGGCTGAGGCCCCAAGGTTAAGGCGGCGAGGGGCTCAGGCTCTCCGGCCCAGGTCCCGGGCACCTCTGCTGTGCAGGCTCAGCCGGAAACACAGGTGGGCTCCCGGGCCCTTCCCGCAGGCCTGACCCCGCCAAGGGGGGGCTCGAGGGCCCGGGGGCCTGGCTCTGCTCACCCTCCTGGGCGGTGTATTCGCTGTCCACTATGCGGGCCAGGCCGAAGTCGGCGATCTTGCAGCACAAGGCCTCAGACACCAGGATGTTGGCCGCCCTCAGGTCTCGGTGGATGGAATTCATGCGCTCGATGTAGGCCATCCCTTCTGCGATCTGAGGGACGGAGTGGGGCGCACAGGGACGATGGTGGAGCCAGCCCGCATCTGCGCACCGTCCTGGGGAGGAGGGCCGCCCCTGCCCGCTGCCTGCTGGCCTTCGGGGTTTGCTCTTCAGTGGCTGCGGGGAGGGGGTGCTGCTGCCGGGGGTGGGGGGGCTCGGGTGGAGCGGAAGGTGGCAGGCATCAGCGAGGCCAGCCTGGAGGCCCGGTGCGGAGACGCTTTCGTCAGAGGCACAGGGCTGCCCGTCCCCTCCCATTCACTTCGCCCGGGGACACCCTGGCGGGCATGACACGTGCCTCCTCCTGACTGGGGACCGGGACTCGGGCTCTGCGGGCAAAGGGAACAGTGTGGCGGGCACGGGCGCCTCGCGTGGCTGCAGAGAGGGGCTCGTGGGGCTGTGCTGAGGGTGGTGCCTGCCTTGGCCGAAGTGACCGGGGGACTCTGTGTTTTGTCCTGCGCAGTGGGAAGAGGAGGGCCCGGGCCCTGTGCGCGTGCGTGGGACTGTGCGCATGCGCAGGGGGAGGTGGCCCGGGAAGCGGGCTCCGAAGCTGTCCATCTGCGAGGTTCTGAGTCCCGGTGTCCTCCCCCAACTCCGTGCTTGACCACCTAGCTCCTGTGCTCAGAGTGCTTTTCAGCCCTGGTCCCCACTGCCTCCGGATTTCCCAGGGTTGCAGTAGGATTGAAGAGACAGGGGAGGGTGAGAGAGGGTAAGGAAGAAAGGAGAGGACAGGCGACAGGCTTATCACTGTCGTGGGGTCGAAACCGGTTACCAGTGTTTTCCTCAAGCATCTCACTGCTGCCTAATGCGTCTCTGCCCCACTCGGCGGAAAAAGGCACGGTGACCTCACTTCCTGCACTGATACTCTGGGCAGATAGCACGGGGTGGGAGGGGGCTGCGGGGTGCTGTGTGTGCGTGTGCATATGTGTGCCTCTCGTGCTGACCACAGACCACCGCCTTCTGGCTGGGAGCTCCAGTTGTGATAACACACACACAGGCCAGCTGCTGTGCTTTCCTGCGGTGAGTCCAGAGCTGACATCCCCAGGAGGAAAGACCTGGTCAGCTGCTGTCTCCTCATGGAGTCTGCAGAGCCCTGCAGGGGACCCAAGGGATGCTGGTCCAGGGCGGCCTGAGGTCTGGTGCCTGATGTCAGAGTGGGGCTTCCTGGGGCTCAGAGGAGACGCCTGCACTGACTGAGGCTGGGCCTGTCCTGGCGCTGCACCGAGACTGAGGGCTCCTGGGACCTGGGGCCCTCAGGGCTGCAATGTCCCAGGCATCTGGGACATAAGCAGGGTGTCCCAAGACCCCCCACCCCGGAAGGCATTTGTGGCACCATCTAAGGGAGAGACAGGTCACACCAGAGCGCTCCTGCCTTCCCTCCTCCAAACACCTGCACATGCGAGCCACCGTCCCTGGGGCCTTCTGACCTTCCTGTGCAGCCTGAGTGAGCAGCACAACTGCTCCCCAGGATGCAGCCCGCTGTGGGCTCAGAGGAGGATGTTCCCTCCTAATCTGGAGCCCCAGCACCAACCTGAGCTGACATGTCGATCAGTCTTGGGAGGGACAATCTGCTGCCTTCCTCCGTCTTCAAAAAATCCAGCAAGCATCCTAGGAGAGGAGCAGAGGGCATGGTGCTTCAGCACAGTGGCTGCACCCCACCCCGTACTGGAAGTGGCATCCCCCTCTCTGGTGACCAGGCAGGAGCCACCTGCAGCTGCTGGGTGCTGTACACCCCACCCGGGAGGTGGCCCCCCACTGCCCGCAAGTTCCACTCAGCTGGGTGCAGGCAGGGACCCATCTGTGGTCTCCCACCAGGGGACTGGCTCTGAGGCTCTGCTCTGTGCCAACGGGAGGCTCATGCATCTGTCCCTCCACCCATGTTGGCAGAGGGGCTCTGCCTCTGGGGACCCAGCCCTAGTGAGAAAGCACAATCCCCTGGGGACCAAGGAGCTGGGAGGTGTTCACAGAGGCAGCCTCTATAACTGCCATGGTCACACGGGGCAGTTTGTGACAGGGACGTTGGCGGGTAGGAGGAAGGAGGACAAAGGCTCGGGCCATGCCAAGCCCGCTGCCCTGTGGCGATACACCATGGGACCCCGGCTACGGAGCTGGAACGTATTCACCCAGCTGTGAAAGGTCTGTGGCGGGAGCGGGTGGATCCGGAACGGGGAGCCTAGCTGACCAGCCTTTGGCTCTGTCCCTGCCCTGTCCCTGCCCTGTCCCTACTGCAGACCACGCCCACCAGAAGGGCGGGCTGAGACCAGCTCTGTGGCAACCATTCTGCGCTCCTGGCTCCCCGCCCCCAGCCATGTCCCACAGTGCTAATGGAGCCCTAGGACCCCGCCAGAGCGCTGGGGGCACCACCTCGGGCCATGTACTCTGTGACGATGTAGATGGGCTCCTTGGTGACCACGGCGTAGAGACGGACCAGCCGCTCATGCTGCAGCGTCTTCATCAGGTTGGCCTCGCCCAGGAAGGCTTCAGGGGACATGGTTCCCTCCTTCAGGGTCTTGATGGCCACCTTCACGTTGTTTTTGTAATAACCTGCCCAGGAAGGAGAGAAGGGAGTGGCCATCAGATGCTTGCAGGAAGGTGGCCCTGGCCGACCGGCTAAGGGAGGGGGCGGTGTAGCGCAGCAGGCAGGGTACGACAGTGCATCTTGGGGAGGTGCAGGCCAAGGAGGACTTACGGGGAGGGGCTGCCACATTAAAGAGTAAGGGTGACTCAGCTTTGCCCTTCCTGGGCAGGCAGGAGCGGAGCACAGGGCACCCACCGGACAATGACACTCACCCATCCAGACCTCTCCAAACTGCCCAGACCCCAGCTTCCGCACGAGCTTGAGAGACTGCCGCGGGATTTCCCACTCATCCTGGGCCCAGGGGTTCTGCAGGGCCAGGGCTGCACAGGGCAGGGTCAGCCTCTGGCACAAGCCATCCCCTTTGTCTGTGGCAGGGAAGAAGAGAAGCACTGGAGGGCACCTGGGCAGCCAGTGTCCCCTGGGAGCCATGGTGTGCTAGCTAAGTCCCTCACATCCTAGCTGATGCTTTCATGCACACATGTGCAGTGCTTTCTGTTGATTTTGCTTCATTTGTGTTGGTTTTTTGAGGCATAGTCTTGCTGTACAGTACAAGTTGGCCTTAAATTCACTATGTAGCCCAGGCTGACCTCAACCTCACGGCGATCTGCCTGCTTCAGCCTCCTGAGTGCTGGGCTTACAGCATAGATCACCATGCCTGGGTATCTGTTCATTTTTACATAAAACATGAGGTCCCTGACCTGCTCTCTCAAAGCCTGCAAATCCTTGTCCAATCGCCTCACGATGAGCCAGGAGATGGGGCCAGGCCACCAGCTGAATCATGCTGAAACTTGCCAACCTCTTAGTCCTGGCTTTGCGATATCCTCCCCCCTTGCGGGTCTCAGACTCTGGGGTTAAGCCCCGCCCCAGACACCCCTCTTACTGGTATAGTGCTGCACAAGGGCCTGGAGGGAGGGGAAGGTGATCCGGGGGGAGATGTAGTAGCCCCCTTCATCCAGGGAGCGGATCTTATAGTGCTTGACTACTTCCCCCTGGGCAGTGACATCCTTCACAGACAGGGAAAAGGACCCTAGAGGGGTAACAGATGCAGAAGCAGACGTCAGGCACCGACACAAAGAATCGGGTCCCTGGAATAAAGCTCCCCACATCCCATGCTCCATTCTGGCCACTTCTGGCATAAGTTCCCTTTTTCTGCTTCTCCTGCCCGCCTTCCCGGAAGCCCCCTCCTGGTTCCACATGATTGCCCTTGTCATTGTCCCCTAAATCCCCCAAATGCAGCCATGGGACCACAAGCGAGTAGGACAGTCTCCCGGCAGTCGTGTGGGCCCCATTGGGCATCTGGTCCCTCGCCTCCCTTGGCCAGGGAGTGTGAAATGTGGGGTCACTGAGAGCCTCAGGCTTTGCTTTGTTGGCTGTAAAGGCTGGTGTCTCCCCCCGCCCCCCAGCAGCACATGGCGGATCAGTGTCCAGCATTGCGCGGGGGGAGCAGAGCAAGCCGTTTCCTGGGGTCCATGCGGATTCAGCTGCTTGTTATACACACATCCGGGTCTTTTGTCATCTACATTTATATCCTTCCTGAACTCAGGTTGTAGCAGATGCCAAGGGTTAAGAGAAATTTAGAGGGTAAGACTTTCCAGCTGAGAAACTCCTTTCCACAGCTTCGGTACCTCTGGCCGGGCCGCTGTGGGCACGGACACCCGCTCCCCTCAACTCTGTTATGGGAGCTGGGGACCGCCCCGCATCAGCTGGCGGAGGAGGCGCCTGCCAGGAGCAGTACCACCCTCCCCCGCCAGGGGTCGGCTCGGACACCTCTTTCTAGGCGTTCGGAAGCTTGATTTCCCTGGCCTGTCTTCAGCAGGACCTCCACCCCACTCCCCTCTCTCTTCTGTTGCCAGTGTGCATCTCTCTACCCATTTGCAAAAGGATATCGAGGGACGGTGCACCTCGCGGTGGTTCTGGCCCCAAGCCCGATGCTGCAGCCTTTTTCCCATCTGGTACAGCGGTCTCCGCAGTCTAAGGATCCTGGCTCTATTGGGCGTATTCATCCTGCCACCACTGTAGTGGCGCAAGAGCTTTTCTCCCCATTTCCCAGTCTGCAGCTCATGCTCTGGAGCCTCCCCTTGCCGGGGTTTCTCTGAGATCCTATCCCTGTGTTTCCTAATCCCATCTCCTCCGTGTGCTGGGCTGCTCTGGGCACACAGCACCTTGCTGTTCTGGATTCAGGTTCCTTAACATGGGAGGATCCACTTGCCTTTGACCTGGCAAACCAGTTGGTCCCTGCATAGACACCAATGAATGGAGGCCACAGGGGCTTCTGGGGCAGCTTCTGTGTCTGTCTTGCATCCACAGGCTGTGGCTTTGGAGCTGCAAAGAGCACTGTGTGCATACGTGTGTGTGTGCATGTGTGTGTGTGTGCATGTGTGTGTGTGTCACATGCCACTACTTGGACAGTCTGCAGCCCCGCCTCTACTGGGCTGCTTCCTGGCTCAGACCCTTTCCTGGGGTGGGCAAGGATGGGAGAAATCCGTGGCCTCTCAGAGAACCCCATCCTCCTTTCCCTGCAGGTGGCACCTTAGCTATAAGCAGTGGTTCAGATGCCATCCCGGAGTGAAATGGCAAAGAACAGGGGCAGACTGGGGACGCTGAAGAAAGCACGCTGGCTGATAATTGTTGAAGCTGGGGGCTGGATGGAGGAGGTTCTGTTATTCCGTTCTCTCCACTTTGAAATGCGTTTGCAATGTCCCAGACCCCTCTGGTGATTCCCTAGTTGTTTCTTGGGCAGAGATTCTCTGCCAAGAACCAGCAGCGGCATTGTCCTAACTGTACATAAATGTGCATGGATGTGACACAGAGGGTTGTATCTATCACACGTAAGGCAGCTGCTGGTGCCTTTCAGGAAGTTGTGCACAGAGCACCCCAGCTTCCCAGGCACCCCTGCCCAGCCTGGCCCTGGTCTTGAGGGCGTCCCAGTGTGTGAGAGGGACTCTCTGCCCTGGTGCCTGCTGCTCTGGTGGCCATTCTAGGTCACAGAGAGCCTCCGTCCCCTCCTTTACTCCATCTCCCCTTTCTCCTCCAGTGTTGCTACCATCTCCTCTCTACAGGATGAAGCAGGTTCCCTCCTGGTGGATGAAGGCTTTGGACACAGCGCTTGGGAAGACCCCCTGCTCAGACCAGGCTCACACAGTACAAAGCTTGTGCAGATTCTGAGCCCCTTCGTGATTGGCCCTTGACACTCTGGGCTCTGACACTGTTGGCCTTAGACACATCGTTCCGGTCTCAGGCTCAGTCTCCTCATCCATCAGATAGGCACTGGCCTGGTATCTCACTGTGGCAAGGAGGTACCGGGCACACACACAGTAGGGCTCAGGGCAGCTACTTCTTAATGGCCTCACTCGGGACACCACTGTCCCCCATAGGGGAGTGGCTGGGCAGGCAGTGGGACACGTGCTGGGTTCCATACAATAATAACATGAACTGCCACAATTCCCAACTCATGAACTTATCTTTTACGGGATGAACTGGCTCCTTGGACTCCCCCAATTCATATGCTGCAATCCTCACCCCTGGTCCCTTTCTGTGTTTAGAGACAGGATTGTTACAGAGGCGACTGGAGCAAAATGAGATTAGGGTGGGCTCTAACCTAAAGGAATGGGTCTCTATGGGAAGGGGACATCAGGACACAGACACACAGAGGGATGACCACAGGAGGACATGGGGGGAGAAAGAGGCATCAAGCCAAGAGAGAGACCTCAGGAGAAGCCAGCCCTGCCAGCACCTGACCCCAGAGGACATAAACCCTATTGTTGGTGGCACCTGTTGGTGGTGCTTTGTCTGGAGCCATTCTATATAATTTTTTGGGAAAAATCATTTCACAATTAAATTATGATTAGGCCTAGTCTTCTTGCCTGCAGGCCAGCTGTGACATGCTGAAACATTACTCCATTTTCTCCTCCAGTCCAGTCAATGGTTCTGTGATGCTGTGATGCTCAAGCTTAACTCATCCCACCTACTATTGTAAGAATGCCTTTGCTCATCTTACCGTCCTCATCAGCATAAGATCCTCATGGTCATAGGATTACTGTCACCCTCCAAAACATCGGACACTTTCTCCAATTATAAGATCCTTGTCAGTTTAGGATTGTTGCTGCCCTCTGAGTCATCTGATGCTCCCTATACACCCAATAAATAGTGGCAAGCTTGGGATGCCTTTGTCTTTGCAGCGCAGAATCTAGCTCCTGCTCTGAGTCTCATTTCCTGTCTTTATTCTTTAATTTGCCTTGTGCTGTTGTGGCTCACAGGAGACCAGGACCCACTGCAGGGAATCTGGTAACATCCCCTTTTCCTGTTCCCTACAGTGCTTGTTATAGCAGCCCTGGCTGACTGACGCAGAAACTCATAAACAGCCCTGAGGAAAGAAGACATAGAAATGGAAATAGTGAGCTTGCACTTGTATGAAGCTGTAAAGCAGATGAAATGGGTGGTGAACCTGCTCAGGAGAGGGAGAAAGGGTCCCCTCTCGGGGAGCAGGGTCGATCAGGAAGGGACCAGGTGGAGAAGTGAGGGTCTAGTGTCCTGTCTGGTGGCTGTACATAGGGATTTACTTCCCAGTATGGTATGATCTACAAGGACAGACCGAAAAATACAGTAAATATTTAAATTAAAAAAATCTTACCACTGGTAAAAGAAGCACTGCCAAGAAAGATTGGATAAATAAGTTCAAAGCGAGGGAGAGTATCTTAAGTATTTTGAGGGGGAATTAATGGCATTCTTTTGCTGTTATCAATTTTTAAATTTAAACATTGGCCGAGTTGATCACCTTGTTAGAGCAATTTCTATCAAACAAAACCCTGTGCTGTGTTGTGTGTCCCACCCATCTTATCCACTGGGTCTGTCACTGTGCGGTGACTTCTGGCTCTTCCACAAAGTCAAAATGACTGTGCAAAGTAAACAGATTGAATCAATTCGGGACACAGAGGCATGCAAGAAGATTGCTAGAGCTGCTTCAGAAAGTGGCGTGAGCAATGGTATAAATAAGTCGAAGTGAGGGGAGAATTTTGAAGGGGATTAATGTGCTTCTTACTGCAAAAGATTTTTAAAAATTTGGACTTTTTTTTTTTTTTTTTTG